GACACTGGCAGGTCTCAGCTTTGCAAAGGGGGCAGTGCATGCTATAAATCTGCAGGGTGCCCAAACTTTTGCAGACGCCATTTTTTTGTTTTCTGTTATTTTGAAAGTGTAAATGATGGAAATAAAATCTAACTTTTGTTGACATATTATAAGAATGTCTAATCTGTAATTTGATGCCTTTTGGAGATTTTTCCATCTTTCCTTGGCTTCTTTATGCACATTAATACAAATTTTTAGCTAGGGTGCCCAAACTTTCGATCCCCACTGTATATATATATATATATATATATATATATATAAAATCTCAATCAAAATTTAAAGTCCTGAGCTACTAGCTAGGCCTTGAGAGTTGCTCGCCACCAACTGCCCACCTCCCCTAATTCCAAAAAACACACCCTCATAAATTATCTCATGAAATGACACTATTAAATGTTTCATGCAGATTAGCGCCAGCTATAGAAGGCTACAAATCTAAGCAATACATAATAAAGCAGTGCAGAATACCACCAGCTATAGAGTAGTACAAATCCCAGTAACACAGAACATTGACAGAACAGTGCACAGTTCATCTGATCCAGGTGCATCTTCCTCTCCTGGTGGTGGTAGTGGTGGGGGGTGCAGCAATGTTCTTCTTACATCAGTGTCCTCTCTCCCCGCAGCATATCACAATCTCCCCCTTTACATCAAAGTCCTTCACGTCTCATCACAGTTTCCCCTTCACGGGAGTGTCTTCATCCCCCCTTCACAGTAGTGTTCTGACTGAACCCCCCCTTCACATCACCCCCCCTTCATTCACAGTGGTATCCTCTGCCCCCCACTTCCACTTACACCCCCCACAGCCATGTCCTCTACCCCCCTTTGCCCCTTCACACACCCCCCATCCATGTCCCCTATCCCCCTCCCCCCCACAGACATGTCCTCTGCCTCCCTTTACACCCCCCACAGCCAAGTGCTCTACCCTTATCACACACCACTTCCCCACAGCCATGTCCTCTACCCCCCCCCCAGCTATGACCTCTACCCCCGTTCAAACCCCACTTCACAGCCCCCACACAGCCATGTCCTCTACCTCCTCTTCACCCCCCCCCACAGCCATATCCTCTACCCTGATCACACCCCCCTTCTCCACAGCCATGTCCTATAACCCTGTTCACACCCCCGTTTTCCACAGCCATGTCCTCTACCCCTGTTCACACCCCACTTTACAGACCCCACAGCCTTGTCCTTTACCCCTGTCACATACACACCCACCCTCTCCCACAGCCATGTCCTCTACCCCCATCACACACCTCAAAAAGCCCACCATGTCCTCTATACCCTTTTCACATACCCCCCTCCCACAGCCATGTCCTCTACCCCCCCCCCCCCCAACCATGTCCTTTGCCCCCTTCACACACCCTCACCCATGTCCTCTACCCCCTATCACATCCTTCTCCCACAGCCATGTCCTAAACCCCCCCTGGGCACAGAGCGCAAAAAGAGTTAAGATGCAGAGACTTTTCAAGTTAACCAGCAGGTGATTGGTTGCTAGGGAGTTCAAGCAACCAATCACCAGCTTGTTAATAAGAAAAGTTAACCTTGGCATCCTGATACCTAATGGCAGTCAGGGTGCCCCATTGTCTAGCTTGTAGAGGTCTGTGCATCCCTCCATGGATAGGTCTCCCCAGACCCTTACTGACCCACCACCAAAACGGTCATGCTGAACGATGTTACAGGCAGCATAATGTTCTCCATGGCTTCTCCAGACCCTTGCATGCCTGTCATGTGCTCAGGTTGAACCTGCTCTCATCTGTGAAAAGCACAAGATGCCAGTGGAGGACCTGGTGTTCAATGGCAAATGCCAATCAGGCTCTATGGTGCTGGGCAGTGAGCACAGGATCCACTAGAGGACGTCGGGCACCCAGACCACCCTCATGAAGTCTGTTTCTAATTGTTTGGTCAGAGACATTCACACCAGTGGCCTGCTAGAGGTCATTTTGTAGGGCTCTGGCAGTGCTCATCCAGTTCCTCCTTGTACAAAGGAACAGATACCAGTCCTGCTGATGGGTTAAGTACCTTCTACGGCCCTATCCAGCTCTCCTAGAGTAACTGCCTGTCTCCTGGTATCTCCTCCATGGTCTTGAGACTGTGCTGGGAGACACAACAAACCTTCTGGCAATGGAACGTATTGATGTGCCATCCTGGAGGAGTTGAACTGCCTATGCAACCTCTGTAGGGTCCATGTATCACATCATGCTGCCAGTAATGACACTTTCACTAGTTTTGCATTTGGCTATGGTCAAACAGTCAGAAAAGATGAGTAGGGAAAAAAATGTCAGTGTCCTCCATCTGTAAAAACCATCCCTGTTTTTGGGGTTGTCTCATTGTTGCTCATCTAGTGTACCTTTTTGTTAATTTCATTAACACCAAAGCAGCTGAAACTGATTAACAGCCACTTAAATGACCAGATCAATTCCCCAGGAGTGTATATATGTGTGTGTGTGTGTGTGTGTGTGTGTGTGTGTGTGTGTGTATATAGATATATATATGTATGTGTGTGTGTACCCCGTATTGAACAAAAGCTGTACAGTAAGGTTAAGCATTCTCAATTTCAGCTGATGTTAATCTTGCAAACCTTGCCTAAAGCACATTTTAAGTTCTCATGTGATCACAACTGGATAATCCAGTTCTCGCATGTTCAAACCCCTGCTCCACCTAGATTCTGTATTTGGACAGGCTTATCATTAATGAATAATGATACATAATGTTGAGCCTATCGAAACCTTGAAAAAAGATGTAGCAGCTGTAGTTCAAACTTCTACTTGACCAGAATCTTGTCTGCTTGAGTAAAGGTTCTTACAGAGTCTTGGCATATAGATTTCCATATACATTTACTGGCCTCATCTTCCTTATGGAAACTCCCATTGTCCCCTCATTTTAAAAAAGCTAGTTGGTCTACAAGAAAAGGGTGTTTATTTTATACCTGGCAGCGAGCGTGCTATGCAAAATTGCATTTCAGTATGTATAAAAACACAGGGTGTAGGAACAAGAAGAGCTGTTACAAAATGCTCATTGTAAGTGTGATATTCACAACTGACATGTCTCATGCTGTTTAAAGGCCATCCTAGGCCTGCATTGTTTCTAAGAGCTCCAGTTCCCTGGTTTCTAGGTTAAAATCAATTTTGGAGATGAAACCGCTCATCCACCTGTACCCCTATGAATGTTTTTCAGTATTGGCAGTGTTATTAAACAGGGAAGTGGTGGGTAATTAACTTTTCTTAGAAGTTGGAGAAGGCAAGCCCTTTTTTTGTTTTGGTTATCCGTATTTATTGTGGTTTTTTTTTTTTTTTTTAAATCTTTCAGTTATGCCTAATCCTTGATGAAAGGGGACCATGTAAAGCCCCAACACATGTTGGCTGTTACTAGGGTTGCACCAATACCGGTATTGGTGCCTATACTAAGCATTAGTACTCATGCAAATTCTCCAGTACCTGAAACCGATACCTTTTCTGTGCAATTTTGGCCTATACAAAATGAGGCTTGAATCGCACTGCAAAGAATTGCCTGTGATTTGAACTGAATTTGAGCTGAAGTAGCGGTGCAATTCCTGTCCGAATAACATGCAGTGGTGCTATTTGCATTGCTATTTGAGCCATTCATTTTGTATGGCTCAACTCGCACTGCAAATCACACCGCAAGCACAGGTAAACCGCATTTGTTTCGGAGAAGAATCGCACCACTATTTCATCTCAAGTTCAGTTCACATCACATGCAATTCTTTGCATTGCGATTTGAGCCCATTATTTTTTATAGGCTCAAATCGCACGGCAAAGGTATCAGTAATCAGTATTGGCAAGTACTTGAGCACAAGTATCCGTACTTATACTCGCCAATTAAAAAAAAAAAAAAAAATTGTATTGGTACAATTCTAGCTGTTACCAAATACAACTTCCAATAAAACTTAAAGTGGAGCTCCAGTCAAAATGTAAAAAAATAAGTCAATCGCTACAAAACTGTAGCTGCTGATGTTTAAAAAAATACTCACCTGTCCCTCGATCCAGCAGTGTGCTCACTGTAGCCGGGTGAAGGGCCATCCTCTCTCCCCAGTGTCGGCATTTTAAGTGCAGGCACCCCACTAAGACAGCTTGTGGCTTCACAGCCGGGTGTCCACTACACATGCATGAGTAGCGCTGCTCCTTGTGAATGGCACTGTGGGGAGGGAGGACAACTTCCGCTTCTGATCGCCTATGTGGTTGCAGAGGAAGTGGGAACGAGTATCTCACAAAATTGGGTACCCGCTCCCTAAAGGTTCCAATCCTTAATGGGGAGTGGGGGACGAGGCCTTAAAGTAGAACTTCCCCTTTTGGGTGCAGCTGTTCTTTAACTTCTGAACTTGTCTGGCACGTTCCTGACTACACACCAGTCTTTATACAAAAAGTGTGCCATCCTATGGCTCTCTCTCTGCCTAAAAGGAAAACTCTTCATTCTTCAGGCCTGAACTCTTTCTAACCACACCTAGGCGTTTTCTGCAGCATTTTGCAGAACCGCAGTACAGTTCATTTAACATGATTTGCTATGGGACTTGTTCACACCTGTGCGTTTTTCACCGGTGCGTTTTTTGGAAAGATTCAGGGACTTTTTTGAACGCAAAACGTTGCGTTTTTGGTTCTATAGACTTCAATGGGAATGCTGCAGAAAAGCATGTATTGTGGTTTTGCAGCGTTTTTGATGCGTTTTGCATTTAAAATCTGCCTAGCATGAAGAAAAATGAAGAAAAAAAAAATGAAAAACGCAGAAAAAAAGCAAGTGCAAAAACGCAAAACACACCGCAGAAAGCATTGCAGAAAGGGATCAAACACAACCTGCATAGGTGTGAACCTAGACTAAGAAAGGGAATTTGTGATGAAATAGACCTGTTTCTTGATAACCGGCATAGCATTTGTTTCTAAACTATTAAAATAGCTGACCAGTTCATTTTAATTTTTAAAATGTTATTCTTTGATGTTCACTTTTCATTTTAGGCCTCTTATACGACAGCTTCCCAGCCAACAGATGTTCGAACATGTGCAGAAGCGTCACCCAGTACTATTCGTATATGTTGGTGTTGAATCAACTCTAAAGGTGAAAAGATAAACTTAAGTTGTATACATTTTGAAAAATGTTTATGTATGGGACTGTTTACATGTGAAGAAATACACATTATATGAATAGTTTGCTATGAATGTTAATTAGGCTAACTAGACCTTATACATAATGACCTTTATTGAGAAAGGATAGGTGTGATTTTTGGACATTCACATTGTTCATGTAATTTTACCCATAAGTAGGTGTAGCTAGACTTCACATGCCCAATCAAGGCACGTCAGCCCAAATACCAGACAACCCATAGTAGTTTTCTTGTTCAAACAATTTTATTAACAATAAATCAGAGTGGGACAAACAAAGAGACATTGCTAATGTACACTGGACATTGAAATGGCAATAGGACATAAAAAAACCCCAATATGAATGAGGGTCATAATACAATTGTCTATACATTACTAGCGGAAACAGGTAGGTAAAAGTTGACAACAGAAGACATTATTGTTCCGGCCAATCAAAGTGATGTCTCCCAAATGCATTAAAGAAATAGGGGGAAGTTTGAAGGGGGTCAAACAGGGGTGGGAGGGGGGGGGGGGAGAAGAGGAACAGCAACAATGACTCCATGAGCGTTCAGCAAGTGTACAACAACCCCTACGTATTACGTACAATGGGCCGATGACAATATCTTTAGCGCACAGTACACAAATCAGGGGAGAAGGAGTGATTCGTCAAAATTAGGCGGGAGGAAGCGATCTACCCAGGGGCTCCATATGCGCAAGAATTTAGGAATCGTGTTGAGAATTGTGGCTTCCACCTTTGCATGTATCATGGCTTGCGTTATTCTGGTTTTGATGGCCGCGACACTTAGGGTGGGGGATTTCCAGGATTTCGCTATAACCTGTTTAGCCGCTGTCGTTACTTGCATGATGAGCTTAAATTGTGAATTGGAGATGCCAGGGGGGCATTGATTGAGTAGGGCGGTCGTTGGGTCGGGTTGTAGGGTAATAGTGCTAAGTGTAGATAACATGGCGAAAATTTCATCCCAAAAGATTTGGGCTATTGGGCAGTCCCACCACATATGGTAATGTGTTCCTGGGTCTGTACAGCCTCTAAAACAGTTGGGCGAGTAATTAGGGGTGAATTTTGCGATTCTCGCCGGGACCAAGTACCAGCGGGTTAAGAGTTTATAATTCTTTTCCAATGCTATGATGTTCTGTGAGGATGATTTTGTGTTGGCCCAAATACGGTCCCATTCAGACAGATCAAATTCCTTACCCAAATCCACTTCCCACTTGTGGGTGTACAGAGGGGGGGACGTGGTAATCGAGGTAGTAAAGAGTGAATATAAGCAGGAGATAAGCCTACGTCTGAGGGTCTTTGCAGCACGCTCGTTCAAAGAGAGACATGGCGTCTGGTCGATTGATTATTGTGGTGTAGGGGGCGTAAAAGTGTTGTAGCTGCAAGTACCGAAATATCTCAGAGGCTGGGAGGCCATGCTTTTCCCGCAGCGAGGCAAAGGATTTAAACTTATTCCTCTGTAGGAAATTATGTGTACGGAATAAATTAGCAGAGGACCAGGCTTTGAATAAAAGGGGTGTCTGCCAGGCCGGGGGAAAAGCTGGGTTTCGCAGGAACGAGAGCATAGGATTATGTGGAGATTGGAGGAGATAGCGGGTTTTCAATTTGTCCCATAAGGATAGGAAGTGAGACGTGATGGGGTTGGATATAGTGCGGCGGTCTATTGGTCTCAACCAGAGTAAGTTAGCTGTGGATAAGGGGTCACATTCAATCGATTCAAGCACAACCCATTGAGGGATTTCAAAAGTTGCATGATATTTAGGTAACTGGGCTAAATGCGCTGCTAGATAATATTTGCTAATATCAGGTAGGCCTAGACCACCACTGAGCTTAGTGCGATAGAGGGTGGAGCGAGGTATACGAGGGCGAATATTGTCCCAAACATAGGAAAAGATGCGACGTTGTAGTGTGCGGAGGTAATGAGGGGGGACTGGGACTGGGTGGACTCTAAACAGATATAGAATTTTTGGGAGGATTGACATCTTAATAACTGCTATTCTGCCTAGCCATGCGAGGGGAAGGGAAGACCATTTGGTCAGAAGGGCAGAAAGGTGATTTAGCATTGGAAGATAATTAGCTGCATAAAGGTCTGATAGCTTAGGAGTCAGTTTGATTCCCAAAAAAGGGATATGGCACTGTGACCAAGGGAATGGTAAAATTTGCTTCAAGTGCGCCAATTCTATAGGGGGGAGAGAAATGTTGAGTGCTGTTGATTTATTAGGGTTTATTATTAGGCCCGAGAGCTCGCCAAACTTCTCGAGAAGCCGGAGTAAGGAAGGAGAGGAAGTCAATTGAGATTTGAGAAAGAGCAAGACGTCATCCGCAAAGAGACATAATTTATGATGTGTGCCCCCTATTTCGAGTCCCTTAACATCCGGGTTAGCTCTGATTAAAAGGGCTAGGGGCTCTATAGCCAGGGCAAAGAGCAGGGGGGGACAGAGGACAGCCCTGTCTTGTGCCTCTAGAAATCGGGAACTGAGCTGACCTGTGCCCCAGATACCTAACTCTGGCTGAAGGCTCTCGATACAGCGAGAAGATCCAGGTTAAGAAGTGTGAGCCAAAACCCCAACGATGCAAAATATAGTTGAGGTATGGCCATGAGACGGTATCAAATGCTTTCCGGATATCTAGGGAAAGGAAACAGGCAGGAATATTACGAGACCTGGCTAAGTTTGCTAAAAGGGATGCACGCCTGATGTTATCTCCTGCTTGTCTAGTTGGGATAAAGCCCACTTGGTCGTTATGAATTAGAGAACCAATACACAAGTTAAGACGTGAAGAGAGGATTTTTGCTAACAGTTTGATATCAATGTTGAGGAGAGAGATTGGCCTATAATTGGACCACTGCGTGTCATCAGAATTTGGCTTTGGGATCATTGAAATGTTCGCTTGCACTGTTTCATGGTTGAAGGTTTGGCCAGATAGTAAAGCGTTAAAAAGCATTAGTAAGGATGGGTGTGAGGAGATGAGCAAATTTCCTATAATAGGTAGCCGAGAAGCCATCCGGTCCTGGGCGTTTCCGTAATTTTAGATTTTTAATAGCGTCTAGGGTTTCGGCAGGGGAGATGGGTCGCTCAAGCGCCGCCAACTGGCACTCTGAGAGTTTCGGGAAGGAAATGGAAGTGAGAAGGATATCAGCTTGTGCGGGGTCAAAGGGTGTGGAAGAAGAGTAGAGCTGTGACAAGTGTTTATGGAAGGTCTGTAGAATATGTTCCGGGTTACTAGTAAGGTTGCCAGAGGAGGTGCGAATCCGGATAGGTTTAGTGAGCTGGTCGAGCCTACGTAGTGAGAGGGCAAGGAATGTATTGGGCTTATTCGCCTTAGTGTAATATTTATGTCTAGATCTACGGAGTGAGAGTTCAGCTTGATCTGTGAGAATCTGTGCCAATCTAGATCGCTCCAAGGCTTCACGATTGGTTGGCGTAGGAGCCGTCTGAAAGGTTTGATGGGAACGATCATAGGTTTGCTCCAGTAAGACACGTTGTTGCCTTTTGGTTTTATTTAAGAAGGATGCTTTGCTAATGCAGAACCCTCGCAATACCGGTTTATGCGCTTCCCATAACAGGAGAGGGGATATATCGGGCGACTGGTTAAGAGTAAAATAGTCTTTTAATGCTGCTTCGATTTCTAGACAGTGTGCTGGGTTTGCAAGCAGGTTATCGTTAATGATCCAAGAGGATTCAGTGGGGGATGCGGCTAACGAGGCCATAGCCGTGAATACGGCGCAATGGTCAGACCAGGGGATTGGAATTATTTTAGAGGTCAGAAGCCGAGAGGAAGAGGCGGTGGTAATGAAAATATGGTCTATTCTGGAGAATGACTGGTGGGGATGAGAATAGAAGGTGTATTGGCGTTTAGTCGGATTGAGTTCCCGCCATGTGTCTATCAAAGAATAACGTTGTAGTATGGCTTGGAAGGTTTGTTTAGGGGCAGGGACAGGGGATGGTTGAGGAGATTTGTCGAGAAAGGGATATATTACACTGTTAGAGTCTCCGCTAACAATTAAAGTTCCGCGCTTATGATGGTCTATAACCGATAGTAGGTGGGAAAGGAATGGTAAGGGGTCTTGGTTTGGGGCGTAGTATGCAACAATGGTAACATCCACATCTAGGAGTTGCCCTACTAACAGGAGGTAACGACCCTCCGGGTCTTTGCATTCGGTGCATAGCGTGAAAGGTGTTGTGCGGTGGAAGGCAATCAGTACCCCCTGCGTTTGGTGGTGGCAGAGGCTGTATAGACCTGAGGATATCGAGGACCAAAAAACTTTGGAGTGGAGTTGGGAGTCAAGTGTGTTTCCTGTAGACAGACCACGTGAGCTTTAAGTGTTGCAAAGGTTCGGAAAGCCTTATTCCGTTTTTGTGGAATATTGAGACCCTGTACATTCAGGGTGAGGATATTTAACGAGCCCATGGATAAAGTGCGTAGTGGTTTGAATAGCATGGCACTCCCACTCGGGATGTAGCCTGTCGAGTACTGCAGGGGATGAGAACATTACGGAGTGTGTTGCGCAAAGTCATGGAGTCATGTTGAAAGGAAGGAGGAGGGGTACGGTATGAGACAGGTAACAGGAAAGAAGGGGTGTAAAAGGCCATTAGTGGCCAAAGAGGTGGGTTCCCAAGGACACCCTGAACAGGGTGGGCCAGGGAACAATAGTAGCCCAAGTGTTAAAAAATAACCAATAACACAGGGGCTAGGGTGGAGTGTGCAGGTACGCGGACCGCGAGGATGACAGCAATGTAATTAACAAACTGTGGCAAGGTCCCGGTAAAAAACAAAAACACAGGTACATAAAAAGAACATGCAAGAAAATCAAGGATCCTAGACTCAGACGGCATTAGTAGTGCTGGTGAGACAACATTGGCGCAGGGGTGTAGCTTCCCATGTCGCCGAAGTCCAGGATCCCAAATATAAGCTACAATGTAGCACCGAAGGGGGGTGTAGAAAACGATCCCCAGGTAGTGGGACAACCAAAATTCAACAGGTAGAGGGAGAGAGGATAACAACGGTATTAACTGCCCTGAAAACCAAACGAGTACACCGTATGGTGTGTGTGGCAAAAAAAAAAGTGGGGGAAAAGGGAAGAATAAATGTAGGACAGTGTTCAGTCCATGGTATCTTGTGAGGTTAGTCCTGGAGACGAAAAACACCCCCTCTTGTGGAAATTGAATTGACCTTCAGTTGCACGTGCAGGGAGGGACTTCCACGGCGAGCAGGATGTGGACCTCCGTTTGGCGCTTTCTGAAGGCGTCGCTGGGGGATGTAGTTGCAGGGCCCGTAGGATGTCTAAAAGATCCTCTGGAGTTTTGCAGGTGAAATCTCGGGACTGGTATCGGAATCGCACTGCGAAAGGGAAGCTCCACCTATATTGTATAGCGTGTTGTTGAAGTACTTGTAAATAGGGTTTCATAGCCCTGCGCTTGGAGATAGTTGTGGGGCATAGATCGTGGAATAACTGGTAGGGATGACCTTGGAATTGTAGAGATTCTCCGTTACGGGCAGCTTGTAGGAGTTGCTCCTTAGTACGGAAAAAGTGGAGCTTGGCTATAATATCGCGTGGTGGACCATCCGCGCGTCGTGGCGCTAACGCCCTGTGAACTCTATCCAATTCCAATCTGTCAATTGGGATAGCTGGGGCAAGCTTTTGGAACAGAGCTGTTATCGTGGATTGGACATCGACGATCGTTTCTGGAAGGCCACGGATACGTAAGTTTGAGCGCCGTGCTCGGTTTTCAAAGTCCTCCAGTCGTGTTAATAGTGTTGCGTTTTTGTCACGCAGAAGATCAAGGTCATCCGTGTGTGTCTGAAGCGAGGCGTCAAGACCATCTACCCTCAGTTCTAGGTCCGCTGTGCGTTGTCCTAGTTCACGGATTTCCCTAGATAGCGTGGCTGTGATGCGGTCTGAGGTTTGCTTCAGAGCTTTGTGTAGCATTTTTTCAAAGCGTGATAATAGGTCAGGGGGTGTAAGGTCAGGCGTCAGGGCTTGTGTAGGGACATCTGTTTCAGTGTCAGACTCACCCTCAGACGTGCAGGGATGGCTGGGCTGCGGGTCCTGCAGAGCTGCATATGCCCCCGCTGCTTGCTTGCTTCCACGTGTTGGGGCGGTGGCCATTTTGGTGGAGGCCTTTGCCAGGGCCTCTTTGATGGTTTTGGTTGATGGGGGGACCTGGTGCCGGGATGCCCCTTTAACCATTTTGCTGCTTGTCAGGAAGGGGGGGCTGTTATAATGAACTCAGCCCCCCCAGCTCTCTCCCTCTTCAGCCTGTGTGCAGTAGTGAGCTGTGTGCTGTGTGCAGCAGGGGGCGGGCCTATGCACAGCTCGCAGCGGGGATGGAGTCCTCAGTCAGAGTACTCTGACTTGGAGCGGAGGATCCGCCGCGGACCCGGGTGGATCAGACCCCGGGAGAGTTGCCTGGGGGATCGGATCCCCTTAGAGTATATCGCGGGCCGGGACCCGCCGCTTCTGGGTGCCGTCACCCGACGGGAAAGCAGAGCCTCATCGGGACATGGCCGTCCCGCCAGCCGCGCATGCGCACTCCGTTCCCCATAGTAGTTTTCACCAGGATCTTTATATGTTTGAACAATGTTTTTTAAGAACATGTAGATCCTAGGCAAAAATTTGTAGGTACAACCCTGGATTTGAAAAAGGCATTTCTATATGGGTGCTGTTGCTTGGTATGAGACTCCTTTCTAATCAAAGAACCCATAATGATTTGTTTTTCTCCAGTACTTTTCCAACCATCTTTACTTAGCATAGCTTGTTCTGTACCTTGTATGCATTGTTGGATGCGAAACAAAGGTAGCCACCTGTGTAGAAGTAATGTTAATCCCCAAGTTCTTTTTGTAGGTTGCTTTGAGTTCAAACCCAGAAAATCAACATGCATACCTATTGAATTACTCACTACATATCTTTACATGTATTTATCAGGTAGTCCTAATTCATCAAAATTCAGGTAATAACACTACACCTGTAAATCATAACTTTTCCTTTGAAAATTCCAATGCCACATGACAGTTTTCATTATTCTCCAATGATGTAACTATGGTCCTGAAGACCAAAGATAGGATCCGAAGAAGAAACAAAAAATACCAAATGCAGGAAATGAAAAGATTGGCAGTTTTTGTGATGAGACACTCACTGGATTGGATTGCAGGCTTAAAGTATTAATGTTTTTTTTACCCATTTGTAATATTTTAATTCTCAACTACCACTATATTATTTCCCAGCAGTGTTTCATTTGGTTTTGTTACACCCAGCATTAAACATAATGATTGATAGCCTGTGGGAGTAAGCGTTATTAGCATGTTTTTATCTACCTTGCCTATTGAAGGTTTAGGTTTTTATTATCTTTAATGTAATTCTAAAGGCAAACTTTTTATTTGTTTAAAAATAACAAACGTGTTCTTCTTACCTGCTCTGTGTAATGGCTTTGCAAAAAGCAGCCCCGATCCTCCTTTTCTCGGGTCCCCGCCAGTGCTTCTGGCCTCTCCTCCCTGCCAAGTGCCCCGATACCAAGCCACTTGCTGTAGGAGTACTGGTGTATACTCGTTCCCAAGCCAGCTCTGTGTGTCCATTGACGAACACAGCCAGCTCAGCCCTGTTATTATGTCTATGGTCACATCAAGCTCGACTTACAGTGACCTGCCAATTTCAGTTGCAATTTGCAAGACATCTGACACAGTTGTCTATGCAAATCACAACAAAAGCAGTGCATTCACTACTTTAGAAATCAGTGTGGCTCTGACCAAGTCGGAACTGTACCGACATGACCGCTGTATTAGCGGACAATAGGGTGCCACATGGCATATGATTTGCAAGTCGCATGGCATGCAAATTGCATCCAATGTGACCGGGGGTGTTAACTAGTCCTCGACAACTTGCTGCAGAAAGAAGCATTAAGACAAGCTGAAAAATTAAAAAAAACTGTTTAGCGCATTAAAAATGACTATGGGTGGTTGATAATTTTTAGCGGATACCAAGTGAACAGTACAGTTGTGCCTTCCATCAAATGTATAATTTGTTTTTACAGGAAAAATTCATTGAAGTTGCATCAGAACTTATTGTGTACACATACTTCTTTTCTGCTTCAGAAGATGTCTTGCCTGAGGTAATAATGCTGTTTTTATAATATGTTGGGGTGCGTAGACCTCATGCTGTTTTTTACAATTGTTTTTCTCAGTAAATAATACCTGCATAGTGCTAACACCCATTTATTTATTTTTTTATTACAATTAACAACAGTACATAAAAGGTCTACTTGCATTGACTGTCGGTTCACACTGAATCTGACTATTTTTAAAATTGTACGACTTCAAAGCCGCAAGTCAGTGTGATTTGAGGTGCAACTTGGCTGACATCTGTGTTACTTTATGCGCAATTGTCTACGCAAGTCACACCAGAAATCAGAAAGAATCGTGCACAAACCTTTTTTCAAGTCGGTGCGGCACCGCAGAGTCTGAGTCACACCGATTTGAACAGTTCCATTGCGGACAGTAGGGTGCGACTTGTCATGCGATTTGAAAGTTTCAAATTGCATGACAAGTCGCACTGGTGTGAACCAGGGCTAAGTGTTTTTTTTTTGCCCCAGTTATGACATTTATCTAATCTGCTATTTAATTTTTGATATGTAAAAAAAAAAAAAAAAACATTTAAAAATGGAAAAAAAAGGTGTTATTATTCAGGTTCTCTAAGTTTCTGCATCTCTGATATGAACTCTCACAGGCCAGTAATTTCACTATCATTGGTGGTCTGGAAGTGACTGCTGTAGCTTCAAAAGATATAATGCTGCCTTTTCTTTTTCAAGCACTGCTTTATACTGTACATTGACGTACTTCTGTTGGAACTTGGTCTGTGCAACCATTATGATCACCTGCTGACTCAGCTGTCTCCACAGTCAGCTTAACTCTCCAATAAGAAACGACACTTTAATCCAAAGTAGTTTTACTTGTAAAATGCAATACATGGATGTTCAGCTATGATATCAAAGTGTAAATGAACAGTGATCTTCAAAACCCAGAGTTCACTATGAAGGCTAGATACTAACTGAGAAACATGAAGAAGAATAAAATTAAAATCATCTCTAAACCTGATGCTAATAGTAATGTATCATAATACAAACTGTAATAATACAAACTATTTTTCAAACCCAAAAGCACTCAAATATATATGACTCAGTGACTTGAAATAAAAAAGAGGAAAGCAATGTCTCAAAATGTGACCACCAAAAATGTAAATGTTAGGCCAAGTGTTTTTTTTATGATATTGATAGTGATTGTACTGTACTGTGTATTCTAAGTACTGTTATCATATTATTCTAAATGTTTTTGCTTTGCAGTATGTCAAGCTGAATGAAGTACCTGCTATATTGGTGTTTAAAGATGCAACCTACTTTGTTTATGATGGTGAGTGTTTCTTGCACTTATACAAATGGATGAAATACAGCAACTTAAATCTCTGTCATGAAACATGGAAGCTGTCATTTCTAGCTTGTTTTGTAAAGGCGCAATTCCTGGGAAACCTTTGTTTCACTACTTAGTGGGTCACTACCTGGAATAAACATATGCATATCTGGTATCAGGGCCGCACATGCATAGTTCAAGTAACAGAATAACAAGCCAGATGGCCTTTGATCATACACCTTCAAGGCTTCAAAATGGCCACTCCTATATTTCCCTATAAATAAAAATATGGACTTTTTTTTTTTAATAAAATTTTCAGTTAGCTTCTTACTAAATGGAAATAAATATTTGTATTTTCACAGTTTATTTATGATAATCATGACAAGGGGCAATTGGAAAAAGTAGGACATATATAGTATATTATGATCAAGGGTTTCAACTGTGTGTGTATAAGAGGGTGTAATGTGTTTAACCCCTTCACGCCTAAGGGTAAAACAAATCTAAATGCCTAAGCATAATTTTGCAATGTTGACCTGTTAGTAAAACCATCCATATCATCACAACTACTTTGTAAATCCAGGTGGATTATACCTTGTTTTTTCAGGACAAATTGGGCTTTCATTTGGTGGTTAATGATAATGGATATCTCCTGATTTTATTTTTTAATTTTTTTTATTATCAAAGGAAAACTGGCCCAAAATAGTAAAAAAAAAAAATCTTTTTTTTATTTTAGCTGTGTGTTTCTTGTTACTACTATAACCTACCAACCCTAAATAAATTCTCCATGTGTATGTTATTTGTTTGTACCCGTAGTACAGCCCAGAAACAATAGTGCACATTTTGTTTGTCTTTTTTTATTTTTATACCTAAAACACACTGATGCCAATTTTTGTGGGTTTTTTTTTTTTATAAACTGACCTTTGACCTTGACCCTTTTTTTTTTTTCTCCCCTCTATGCCAGGAGTTGGAGAGATTTAATGTATCTTTCCTCCATTCATAGAGAGAAAAATCAAAAACAAGGGGGCTGGGCTGTACAGTGACTGATCACTGTGATATCCAATCAGAGGCTATCACAGCGATCATGTGACCCAGAATCGGGAGTCCCGGGTCCCGATCGTTAGAATGGGACCTGGGGCTCTCAGTGACACCGCGGTCTTTGTGCTGGGAATGTGCCGTGCGGCGCGCTCCCAGCAGAAAGACAGGTACGCAAATATGCGGCCCCACGGGAAAAAGCCCAGTTCTGTTAGGCCGTATATTTGTGTTACGTCCGCATCAAGGGGTTAATTAAAATTAGCACTAGAAATTATTGAAAGATCCAATGCACAGTTTTGTACAAAATAATATCTATCCCCCCCGAGTGTGTCAATTTGTTCTCCATTTGGGCCCCCCACGCTCACCCCTCCCATACTCAGCAGCTCACAGTGGGTGGGTTTTAATAAGAGTCAGTGATGACATTCTAGAAAGCAGCAGGCAGGATTAGGTGTAGGTTTGCTGCCTCATGACATGCTACAGATTTGCAGTGACAATGCTTATCATCACACCCAATGCAATATCTTCTCTGTAATGCAAGCAGGCACATCCTAAGTTAGCTAAATGTTGAAAGATCAGCGAGCGCTCAAGAATCTGATGAGGTCAGCAGCATACGCATTAGAAAGGAACACAAAACCTTATATAAAACATACACAAAAATTGGTGCAGCGCTGAAGGAATTAATATAGAAAAGTGCACTAATAAAAAATATGAAGTTATTAAACACAATTGATAACATGGGAGTGAATCGCTACAATGAGCACAAATAAATATATAAGTGCAGCTGTGAAAGTCAAAAAACAGACAAAGAAAGTGTTCATATGATGGTGAGGGTCTGACAAACACTGGTCAGAAAATTGTGCTGCATACAGATCCTGTTCCACAGGTGGTATCAAAGAATTCCACGTGACTTTAATCCATGTGACTTTAATCCATGCAGGGAATTTGATAAATATGCACACTCACCAGATGCGCATAGTAAAAGCTCAATGTGTTGAATCGTATAATGACCAAGCCCCCTTTAGGTGGACCAGACAGACCGCATAGGAAGAGACTCCCTCCTCTGGATCTGAGACTGCTCTGCAACTGTTCTCTGGCTGGAGTCCTGGAAATCGTTTAGCTCAATTCTCCTCTGCTGCTACTTCCAGCAATGTCTCCTCTTTAATTCTTCCCCATCCTACATGACGGTTGACAATGCTGCATGGAATGCAGTAACAATCAGCAGTGCTGTCACCTCATCAATGTAGCTTCAACTGATATTTGCAATAATTTAAAAGGGCTGTAGCACATATTTTTATTAATGGGAAGCTATAGATCTACTTTATTTATAACACTTAATTAGTTGCATTTTGAAAACTCTGAAAGCTCAGTGTAGTCCACAGCCTGTGTTTCAGATTGCTGTAGTTTTGGCCGGCTCTATTCTGCAATACAACACAGTACCTGTGTCTCATTGATTTTTTTTTTCAAAGGCAATTTAGTTTCACTGTTAATCGTATGTGTGCATCTGCATGTAGGGGGTACACATAAGCTCTCACTAAACATCTGAGGCTTCTGTGTGGCCTCGAGGCACAGTATTTTGAGATATCTGTATAACAGAGAGAGACAGTATTATAGTAAAATATTGCAACATAAGGTGCAGTATTAACACAAAAACCACTGACATTGCTGTATATACTTATTTTTATATAAAAAAAAACTTTTTAAAGTTTTTTTTTTTTTTTTTTTTAATTTTTAAATAAGAGTGCACTAGGGCAGCACTAGCGCCCCATGATTATAACATTGCTTGATTACAAACATTTCTGTATGGCCACTTTTATAGTAATTAACCTCATGTGTGCATTTTGTTTAAATCAGTGGTTCTTAACCTGGGTTCGATCGAACCCCAGGGGTTCGGTGAGTCAGTCTCGCGGGTTCGGCAGAGGTGAAGACCCACACCCGACTCATATGATTCGTGCAGTAAATATTCATTATTATGTTTTTGTGTGAAAATCATGTTTTAATGGTTTTGTTCTTAACGGTTTTGTTCATTTTGTGCACCTATGTATAAATATATACCTAAATATATACCTATGTTTTGAATTTTAAAAATCATATTTTATTTTTCCAATTAAGAAGGGTTCGGTGAATGCGCATATGAAACTGGTGGGGTTCAGTACCTCCAGCAAGGTTAAGAACCACTGGTTTAAATACTGCGTACAACTGTCAGATTTACTTTAACATCTCAAACTAAATTTTACATTTCATTTGGGTATCACTATATGCTACATATGTAGCATTTCTATAGCGCTTTTTGCTTTGTACCTTTTCATGTTAAAGGCAAGATAAAGCAGGGGATTTTACATTAGCACTTTTTTATTACATAGTAATAAAGAGAAACATACTCCACACCAACGGAAATCATTTGTTTATTCTTTTATTGCCAACATGACTTTTTTGGTACTGGTAAAAACACAACATGACATGACATACTAGAATGCAAATTTCCTTAAATAACCTGAGAAATGAGCAAGCCATTCAATAATAATTTAGAAACCACAAAAATAATTTAGAAACAACAAAATAAAAACTAGAAACATAGAAAATGTATTATAGTACCTAGATATAACACATCAATTATATAATACAAATTTACTGATAACTGTAATAAATACTTGTAAATAAATATTTTAAAAAAGGTAGTAGTGTGTAAACAGATTACTCGATTTGCTAGCTGCGGTGTTATTTGCCATTACAATCCTTTACAATCCTTATTTGTAGCCATGTGAAATTCTTTGCATGTTAATGGTAAAGAGCTGATCAGATCTCTAAATAAAACTGATCAATTTGATATAAGAGGGCTTCTAATGTGCAAGTTAGCCAGTTTCCTAAAAACCTTAAAATATTTGCTATGCTTTGGGTGATTTTGGTTTCTGTTCCCAGATTTACCATGTGCATAATGATGACTCACACATAAAACGGGAACTTCTACTTACACTTTTTTTTTTTTTTTTTTTTCTTGGTCGAAACCTTTGTAATTATTGCATGTAGAGGGGAAGGAGCGATTACATCCTGATTAACTCTATGAACAGCATATGTTTTACCCACAGGTTACTTTTCTGAAATTATATTAGGGTTGTGCTGTGTGGTTAGTATGGAGAATGTATAGCAAACTCAATCAAACAGTGGAATAATTGGAGCCACATTATATGTTCTTTTGTAATTTAAAGCTGAATCCCAGTCAGCTTCTAAAAATTTAAAAATGCCCTTTCAGTAGCACTCCTTTGTATAGTAAGGCTCTAATATTAATTCTAGGGGCTGTGACAGAGAAACCTCTTATTCCTCATTTCCTAGGCAGCTGGCACTCTCCTCTGCTCTCCTCTATTCCTGTAATGCGTGAGGACCCTCAACATCCTCAGGTACGTGCAGGACCAGTGGCTCTGCATTGTACATGATGACAACATACAAAGACAAGTGCATTTGCAGGATCAGTCACCCAGTGCATGGGTAAACCAGGGGGTGCAAGGAATAAGGTAAGTATCTTTTTATATTCTAGCCCCCTAAACATAACAAGCTTATTACAGCATTACTATAGAATGAGGGAGCTAACAAAAGGGCTTTTTTAACCACCTCCCGCCTGCCATATAGTAATATGACGGACGCAAGGTGGTTCTCTTGTTCTGGGAGGACGTCATATGACGTCCTCCCATTCTAACCACGCATGCACGGCTCCCGGAGAGCGCGGTGGGCTGGGTCTCTCGGACACAGCGGATCACCGATCCACAGAAAGAGCTGAAGATGTCATGTCATGATGTCATGTCAATCACAGCTGATCACATGTAAACAGGGAAATGCTGGTTATCGGCATTTCTGTCCTCACGAGATGTCTCGCTGAGTTGTCAGTCCACCCCTGATAAGGACCAGTGTTTTAACTCTCTTCCTGTTACCTAAAATTGAAATACCCTTTTGTGGACTGACCCTTTAGGCTCCTTTCACAC